CGGCGACCCCCTGCAGCTTCCGCTGCCTCCCCAGCCCTCGGTGCCGGCATGTCTGAGGGGCTCCCCGGGTTGGGGCCAGCTGGAGCCGTGTTGGTGGCAGCCACCCGTGGCCCTCTGGCAGAAGTTTCCCACCAGCACCCAAAGCACCAGCTTTGCTCCGTCGCCCGGTGCTGTAACGCCCTGAAGCCTGGTCTTGGCCTCTGCTCTCCCGGCAAGTGACATGGCTGTGCCACACCTTCCTCCTGGGTGAAGGAAATAATCCAGCTGCTTGCACCGAGAGTGATGCTTGGGTTCACGCTTGAACTTCACGCAGAAGCTGGGTATCACAGAACAGTTTGGGTTGGAAGGGACCTTAAAGCCCATCCAGTTCCAACCCCCCTGCCATGGGCAGGGACACCTTCCACTAGACCAGGTTGCTCCAAGCCTCATCCAGCCTGGCCTTGGACACTCCCAGGGATGGGGCATCCACAGCTTCTCTGGGCAACCTGTCCCAGTGCCTCCCCACCCTCTGCGGGAAGAACTTATTCCTGATATCTAATCTAAACCTCCCTGCTTTCAATTTAAACCCGTTACCTCTTGTCCTGTCACTCCCTGCCCCTTTAAAAAGTCCCCCCCAGCTTCTTTGTCCTTCAGGTACTGGAAGGCGTGACAGGGTCTCCCTGGAGACCTCACAGTGTCCTGCGGTGCAGTGCTTCGCTTGGGAAAGGGGGAGAGGTGGTTTGAGCATTTTCAAACAAACTGTTTTCAGTGATCTTGCCAGGGCAGTGTGAGGACTGAGGGGTGTCCTGTGTTGCTGGGTCCCCACACAGGTGCCTCTATGCTCTGAAGGTGGGCTGGAAGGTGTGCTGGGCAAAGGCAGAGGAGGAGGAACAGAGCCACATGACGTTCCTCTCTCACGATATCAGCATGCTGCGCCTCTTTGAGACCTTCCTGGAGAACACCCCGCAGCTCACCCTGCTCCTCTACGTCATCCTGCGGACAAACAAGGCGGAGCCCTCCCAGGGTGAGGGGTCTGGCCCCAGAGGAAAGGGGCTGCAGGGGGGAAGGCTTGAGGTCGGGGCGGGCTTGGATGGGTCAGACCAGATGGGCTGTCCAGGGGCTGCAGGACCCAGCAGGACACTGCATGGAGGGTGGAGCCCAGGCCACTCAGGAGGTGCTCTGATGCCCATCCTGCTGTGGGAGCAAGTGTCACCACAAGGAAAAGGGAAGCCCAGCTATGTGCTGGTTGGACCCACCTCCTGCCCATGTGGGCTGGGGGCTTCCCTGGCTGCAAGACAGGCTCTGCAGCCGCCTGGTCCTGTTGCTTCTTCCCCACCTCCTGGGCAAGGTCGCGTGCCAGCCTCCTCGGAGAGGGCTGGAGGCCACAGGAGAGAAGCAGGTGCTGAGGCTCTGACACTCCACAGCAGGTGGAAGATGGTTTTAGGAATGCTGGGCAACCCCTCAGCATCTCCGCTACTGTATTTGCAGGACTGGGGATCTGCACTGCGTTCCTTTGTGTGACCTGGTCTCTACTGGACTACCACCAGTCCCTGCGCTCCTTCTTGCGGGACAAGTACGACCTGAGCCTGAGCTCCTCCATTGTCTACTTTCTGTGGAATCTCTTCCTCATCTGCCCCCGCATCCTTGTCATCTCCCTCTTTGCCCTGCTCTGGCCCTACAGCGTGGCTGTCCACTTCCCGCTCGTGTGGCTGGGGATGTTCCTCTGGGTCAGCCTGCAGGGCACGGACTTCATGGAGTCGCCCGGTCCCGAGCAGCTCTACCGGGCCATGGTGGCCGTGATCCTCTACTTCAGCTGGTTCAACGTGGCGCAGGGCAGGACGCTGTACCGCAGCATCATCTATCATGGCTTCATCCTGGCGGACAGCACGCTGCTGGCCCTGGCATGGCTGTGGTTCCAGTCCCCCACTGACGAGCACGTGTACCTCATCCCGGTAATCTGTGCTGCCCTGCCCTGCTACCTGCTGGGACTGGTGCTGAGAGTCACCTACTACAAGTGGCTGCACCCCAATATGCAGGCGCAGCAGGAGGGCAGCTGCGACAAGGTGGATGCCAATGGGAGGACTGACAGGCTGGAGTTGTCCTCGCTGTCAGTGCCAGAGCTCGAGAACAGGCGGATGCGATGGCTGGCCCAGGCCCAGTTCCCTGTCACCCAGCTGGTGGGGCAGCGCTTCATCAATAGGTCTGCTGCTGTCGAGTCTGCTCTCTGAGGCCGCCTTCTCCGAAGTGACTTGCTGGGAGACGGATTTGTTAGTTGTGCTCCTGGTTCTGCCCACGAGCTGTTGTTTTGGGCAGCTGGAGGAGCCTGGCAGAAACCAGGGGTGACATGCAAGCCGCCGGCAAGGCCCAGGGCACGCAGCATGGCTCCTACGACTGCTGCAGGGGAGAGCCACACTTTGCCAGGGTCCAGCACGCTGTGGCTGCACTGCTGTCAGCCTCTCTCACTATTTATTACTAGCTTTTTCAAAAAAAAAAAAAACCCAACCACCACACAAAACACTGAAAGTAGCAGCTTGTTCTCTTTGCCTGTGACTGCTTGGGGAGGTGGGTGATGGTGGGGGGCTTGTGCCTCCTGGACAGTAGCTGGCCAACATGTTTCTGGTCAGGGTTTTTCTCCTCCTCCTGTTAAGGTCCAAAAAAGGTCCTGGCTAGTGGCATGTTGAGGGGGGGCAGGGAAGGCAGCAGGAGGTCTCCTGTGCTGGGAGAGCAGCTGCCCCGGGTGGGCAGGGGTGGCAGGGGGCCCGCGCTTTCGGGAGGGCATTGTGGGTCAGCGCCGGGTCAGGGGGCATGGAGGCTTTT